CTCTGCAATGGCTCCCCGGCATGGATCGATACCAACGCCAGGATCACTCGAGGGTATCTGCCTTTGCACCCTTTTAATTTCAGGTTGATCCATAGCCCGGGGGCGCAGATGACCGTGGCCAATTTTCCTGGCTCCCCGGCCTACGTCGAGCGGTGGGTGTCTGTGGTGGTGGGGCGGGGTTAGCTCACCTGCAGAGGGGGAACGTAGTGAGTGGGTGGTTCATGGAACGGTGCCTGAAGTAGGTCCAATCTGCCTCAGCTGAGTTAAATTGTGTGTGTGTGTTTCTGTGTGTGTGTAGGGGGGGGGGCGTGTCTCCCTCCCCAATAAAGGGCAGTAGGGACTGAGAAACGGGAGAAGGAGGGATGAAGGGTGACCGGCGAGAACGATACATGCAAGAGTGCTCAATAAAAATTGTTAAACTAAAAAATCTGTGTCGCTGCTTTCTACTCCAAGACTCACGGGGTAACACAGGACACGTTACAAGCAACATCCTATTAAGTCAATTATTGGATATAGGTGTTGGAAAAACTGCAATAGTGTTTCACCTTAGTCAGTACTACTTAGACGAACGAGAGTCTGTGCTCTTTCACATAGAGGCACTAACAGGGAACAAAGATTGTAGTCAACCTGACGTGATTTACTTGCAAAACTGGACAGGTTTTTCCTTCATTACGGGTAAGAAAGCTTTCTAACTGATGACACACTGATACCCCCCCCTTTTATCATGTTTATCTTCCAACAATACATTCCTGCTGCCAAGTTGAGGACCTTTGAGTAGCCTTGATGCAAAACTTGTATGTGTGTCAACTCTGTCTACTGTATATCCAGTTTTATGATTTTACGCGGTGTTGAGGAAGGAATTTTCTAACAAAAGTATGCAAGTTCCTTCCCCGTCTTAGCTTGACACGCCTAGTGAGAGGGCGGTATGAGCGTGTGTTCATGACAACTACCCTCACACTGTAACCCACACTGAAGACAAAGTTACCGTGTGGTTATCTCAAAAAGTTTTATAGAATCAATATCAATATATCAATATATATACATATATATATATATAGTAAGTTGCTTTGGATAATATATATTTATTATATGATAGTCATGATATTTATATTGTATCAGATCTACCAACTCTCACGGTTTCGCCGTGTGACACACGCTTTTGCATGTTTTCACACGCACTCACGCCACACAACCAATTTCTCACGGCAAAAAAAGAAATTCGGATTTTGGGCCGAAGCGCGTTCGTTCCTTTTCAAACTCCCCGACGATAGACGGCGCTAAGGAGCGCGTCTGTGAACCTATTCGCTGCATAGACATCCTGTTTACCCCAAAGAGTCCCGGAGTTAGCAACGGAAGAAGGTTTTCAAACAGACACAACCGCGGGAGAAACTCAGGAGGAGCAAAGACTAAGGTACGTTAATGACATGTGGTTCAATTAAGTACTCACTCTCTTAAACTTTAAATCTTGAAATAACTGATTAGTTGTGTTTGTGTGATTTTGAGTGGTGAATGTAAACTGTCACAACAAGCAGCAGGAGAGCACCTTGTTAACCTCTTGGTGTACTGCATGCTCAAAACATCATAGCATTGTTTATTAAGCCTTAATAAACAATGCTTGATAAAAAATGACTAACCAGCTTCTGATCTCCTTCTTAATACCTCATCTTTTGTTATTTTATTTATGTGTATTTATATTATGTGTATCCATTGTTTTGCTTTGAAGGGCTACTGTTTAAGCACTTTATTTGTTGCACTTTTTTGTTTGATAATGAAAAATATTTTTCCCTAACTAAACTTGTCATTTTTTGCTGAACATAAATCATTAAGTGCTCTTAAGAATACAATTATTAACAATATATGTGAGGTTTCAGTTAAGAGTTAGTTGAATACCATTGTAATCAAAACAACCTAAATTGGTCAAATCTTAAACACAGGTCTATTAATTAGGCTATATTGTGGTACATAGACAGTCATTGAGGCACAGCAATAGTTTTCTGGTTGAATGTTCAGCTCAAGTCTAGAAGGCCCCACAAGTCATGAGCAGATGAACATGAATCAGAATAAGTTCAGGCATACGACCCAAAAATCCACTAGAATGCATGAAATAACATCTACTTAAACCAGAATGTCCTTGGGGTGGACCATCAGCTACGTCTCTGCTTCTCAGAATGTAACCAATGTTGTCCATCTCCAGCAGGCCGCCCCTCTCAACGACGTTGGGCCCCACAAACCACCAGAATGCAGGGTACAACACGGGTACTACGCCAAATGAATTCACACCAACGTGTGTGGCTGCGTGCGTGACAAAATCTTGGTCACCCCCGACAAAATCTCACTCCAAGGTTTTTTGAAAAGTTGGCAGCTCTGTTGTATATTTTCAATAGTTACAATATGGTAGGTATTCATTAATACACTGAATTGTTTGAATACGATGTCCTTATTATGTTAAACTGTTGGTTGGACGAAATGTTAAATATTTAACGTTAACTGCGAAGTAATAATTTGTGTTTGATACCTTTTTTTGCATTGAATCATGGGATGTTGACTGAAACTGATTGGGTGGCCCTACCACCTATTGTGCCTCGTAATAGCGTTTCACATCGGCACGTTAATTAAGTGGTATGGGTTCTAAGTACATGAGACAGACTGGTTTAGTGCTCAAGTGGGAAGTATGAACAGAAACGAGTGCGCCCATTCTGGATCAAATGCTCAACTTTTGCTGCCCACTTTACTCTTTTTGGTGAACGACATTAGTTCCTTATTTTTCTCACCCGTCACTTTCGCTCGTTTTCTCCGTTTTTTTTCAAATTTTGCTATATTTTTCTTCCTACCGTCTTTTTATTTGTAATTTGCTGCAATCTCTCTATTTTGTGCACTGTTGATTATCCTGCATGCAGAAACTCGATTGGTCGAGTAGTATCACGTGGGGTGGTTTAACTCGAATGCAATTGGTCTGTGCTTTAAACCATTACCGTAAAGACTACCAAAGCTGCGCAGGTTGAAAGGTGCCGCGTCGGGTTTCTGTTTTAGCTTCAGGTCCGGATGGGACGGCCTCTGGCTCCGGGCCGCGGTCCGCCAGTTAGTGACCTCTGATAGTATATGTTTTTTATTATTGTCAAAATATGTTATGGATCTTCCTAATAATAATCAGTTACTTACTGTATGTTGTGTGCCATCTAGTGGACGGTCAGTGGAAGAAATGTTTAACGCAAAACACAAAATGAAATACATGACTTAATACTTGAAATAATTATTTAAATCTTTTAAGATGTACTTAGTGTTTGGCCACTCAAAGAAACGGGAGAAGGAGGGATGAAGGGTGACCGGCGAGAACGATACATGCAAGAGTGCTCAATAAAAATTGTTAAACTGAAATAATCTGTGTCGCTGCTTTCTACGTCCGAGACTCACGGGGTAACACAGGACACGTTACAAGCAACATCCTATTAAGTCAATTATTGGATATAGGTGTTGTAAAAACTGCAATAGTGTTTCACATTAGTCAGTACTACTTAAACGACAGAAAGTCTGTGCTCTTTCACATAGAGGCACTAACAGGGAACAAAGATGATAGTCAACCTGACGTGATTTACTTGCAAAACTGGACATGTTTTTCTTCATTATGGGTAACAAAGCTTTCTAACTGACGACACACTGATACCCCCCCTTAAGTATTGTTGTTGGTGTTGAAGAAATTTTCTAACAAAAGTATGCAAGTTTTGTTCCCGTCTTAACTTGACACGCCTAGTGAGAGGGCGGTATGAGCGTTTGTTCATGACATGACATTATGTTCTTTACAAGTGTATGTTAACTTTTGACCACAACTGTGTGTGTGTGTATATATATACATATATATATATATATACATATATATACATGTGTATATATATATATATATATATATATATATATATATATATATACACCGATGTGTGTCTATATGTGTGTATTTGTGTTTTTGAAACTCTGAACCATTTCTGCGTTGCTTTTGATGGGGAAGTCGGTCCCACAGGTGTTCAGCAAGTATTTCCACTGGATCCGTGAATTCAGCAGATCCTTCATGCAGTTCAAATCTGCCTGCACTCTGGACCACGAGGCATAGACCACGCTTTCTAATGTACTGGCTACAAACACGTTAGGAAAGCAGGAAATAATTGCCTCCACAGCCTTTTGGAATCCTTTAGAGGATTTCTGGTCCACATGCACACAGTAGATGTTCTGAGGAGTGTAAACAGCTCGAAGGAGTCGCTCAAACATCTCAATCTTCTCATGGATCACCATGGAGTAGGCGATGGGAAAATGATCTTCCTCCTCACTGAGCGGTGCTGTAATGAAACCTCTCTTTTCAATGTAAGCTGGACAGTCCTTTGTCACATTGAGGTAGAAGTCCTCAGATAAAATACCCATTATTATGTGTAAATTAAGATAATGCCCAAAATATATGCTTTTCCTGTGCGTCCTCTCCGCATGTCTCAGGGCTCTGGCACGGTCCCAAAGCAGCGGGTCTAAGACGCAGTTACTGATAATCACTGATAAAAGTTAATGAGTGACATACAATTTCAGAGTACTTTTAGCATGTTTATTTTCCAACAATACATTCCTGCTGCCAAGTTGAGGACCTTTGAGTAGCCTTGATGCATGACTAGTATGTGTGTCAACTCTGTCTACTGTATATCCAGTTTTATGATTTTACGCGGTGTTGAGGAAGGAATTTTCTAACAAAAGTATGCAAGTTCCTTCCCCGTCTTAGCTTGACACGCCTAGTGAGAGGGCGGTATGAGCGTGTGTTCATGACAACTACCCTCACACTGTAACCCACACTGAAGACAAAGTTACCGTGTGGTTATCTCAAGGACATGGCGTTTGCGAGGTCGTTGAAAACCCGGATGTTGAGGACCTCCTCACTAATTGTCATCGGTATGTTACTTTCTTTTGTCCTTTGGGAAACTACCTTAAACAGGCAGTCATCGCCTGACCTCAAAATACCACAGGAGTTCTCTGTAGACCTGCCTGGCTGCTTGGCCATTATCAGTGGAGACACAGAAGGCAGGAGAGGAGAACTAGAAGTCCTCCTGGCGTCCAGGAAAAGAAGAAGTATTTTATCTGAGGACTTCTACCTCAATGTGACAAAGGACTGTCCAGCTTACATTGAAAAGAGAGGTTTCATTACAGCACCGCTCAGTGAGGAGGAAGATCATTTTCCCATCGCCTACTCCATGGTGATCCATGAGAAGATTGAGATGTTTGAGCGACTCCTTCGAGCTGTTTACACTCCTCAGAACATCTACTGTGTGCATGTGGACCAGAAATCCTCTAAAGGATTCCAAAAGGCTGTGGAGGCAATTATTTCCTGCTTTCCTAACGTGTTTGTAGCCAGTAGATTAGAAAGCGTGGTCTATGCCTCCTGGTCCAGAGTGCAGGCAGATTTGAACTGCATGAAGGATCTGCTGAATTCACGGATCCAGTGGAAATACTTGCTGAACACCTGTGGGACCGACTTCCCCATCAAAAGCAACGCAGAAATGGTTCAGACGCTGAAGGCCCTCAACGGGAGGAACAGCATGGAGTCGGAGGTGACCGACGACTATAAGAAAGTCCGTTGGCTGTATCATTACAACGTGACTAATACTGTGGTCAAGACCGATGTGAAGAAGAGTCCCCCGCCCATCGGCAGCCCGATGTTCAAAGGAAGCGCTTACTTTGTGGTCAGCAGAGCCTTTGTGGAACATGTGCTGCAGGACAGAGAGGTTCAGCAACTTCTGGAGTGGGAGAGGGACACATACAGCCCTGATGAGCACTTGTGGGCCACTCTGCAGCGAATGCCCTCCGTGCCCGGATCAGTGCCCACCAACATCAAGTACGATGTGTCAGACATGCAAGCCCTCGCTCGAGCGGTGAAGTGGAGCAGTCTAGAAGGAGATGTGAAAAAAGGAGCCCCGTACCCCCCCTGCATGGGTGCACACAGACGAGCGGTCTGCGTGTACGGAGCTGGTGACCTGCCCTGGCTCCTGAGACAATATCAACTCTTTGCAAATAAGTTTGATCCTGATGTTGATGATATTGCTATTAGATGCATTGAGTCAGTTCTGCGTTTGAAGGCTTCAGGCCATGACCAACTGTAAACATGGATATGAAAACATTTTGTATATATTTTTATATAATATATACAGTAATCCCTCGTTTATCGCGGGGGTTACGTTCCGAAAATGACCCGCGATAAGTGAAATCCGCGAAATAGAAAACTTTTTTTTTTTTTTACAATTAGCAACTATTACATGTATACAAATACAGTGACTCGCGTGTAGGCCGTTTCACTGCTCTTCAGACTGGGCCGCTGCATCCTGACTGCGCTCTGCAGTGTTCTCTTCTTCTGAAGCCCGCGGTGCAGGTGTGTTTGTTCGGGAGAAGAACATAGTGATAGGCAGCTGTTGTCGCTCTTTTTTCTTCTTTGCAAAAAGATCCTTGTACACCGACATGCCACCATCGATTACGTTGGAGAACTGTAATGAACGGCTCGGGAGTGAGTTTTTAGCGAATCAGAATGCAGAGCACAATGCACCAAAAAAAAAAAAATGCAATATGAAAATCCGCGAAATAGCGAATCCGCGATAAGTGAACCGCGAAGTGGCGAGGGATCACTGTAAATACTGTAAAGCTATCATCTAGAAAATGTCTTGCTCAGAATTTCCTATAAAAATGATTTTAATGGAATCTGTGTTTGGTCACCACACAAATGATACCTCTGTTGTTACCCCAGCATAGATGGAATGAAAGATACAAAACAATGAGGTGGATCAATGGGTTTACTTGAAGAAAATGTTAAATTAAGACCTACATCTTTGCTTCAGATTGTTGCTAAGGGGAAAAATTTCCCAAGGCAAGATTTTGATTGAGAACATCAGAAGTGAACATTGAAAAAAGGTGTTATGAAAACGTGTTCTATGAAATGATAGTGAATGAGTCAGACACCTACAATGTATTATACAAATCAGAGCAACCATAAAAATATATTAATTTCTCTCCATTGACACCCTTTGAGTATAAATACATATTTAAATGTAATAAAGCAGAACATGCAGCAACCACCTTAAATAACGTGCAGATACACCAGTAACACCCAGAAGATAAGTATGACATATTTTGGCAGTAAATATAAAATAAAAAATATAGATTAAAAATGTTTCAGACAGCATGTGGGAAAAATTCTAAAGATCGATCTGTAAAAAGTTCCACGGTGTGACGGGCAGCATAGTTTCAAAAAAGGCACTTTGATGATGTAGAGTCGCGGCGGTCCGAAGCGTTCTCCTTGAGCGTGGCCTGATGCGGACGGTCACTCTGGAACAGCGGCAGCTGCGATCTCCACTTTGCCGTGCATGCTCTGGTCAATTCTGCAGACAAATTCAACAGTCATCAGACCTCTGTGTGCCAGGGGTCGCATGTCTTCTATTATAGCCGACACTGCCCACAAACCCACTTTACACAGAATCACACCGTGAAATGTAGCCATTGCACTTGTACTGTTAAAAAGGGAACTACTTTCTAGACTTACCAGACTTGTGCTTTCAGCAAACACATGAATGCCTCGTTTTGTCCATGCCTTTTCTACTGAATGGAATTTAAATGCTTACTTCTTACTTCTGTTGACCAATGCAATAGTGTATGCTATAAATCCCTGTTAGGGCACAGACTGCTCACTCTGCAAATAGTGGTACACTAAGAAAATGTATACACAAATGCATTACACTGATATGTGAACAAACCGTTCATTCTATACAAGTGCAACCGTTGTGCAAGGTTGGTCATTACAGCCTGAGACAGCTCCGTGGCAATGTGTGAGGCTTTAGTGCACCGGTTCTTAACTTAAGAAGAACCACCGTGCAACGCATTACACAACCAGACAGTGATTCAGTTAATACGTGTTGTTTTAATATGACACAATATCTCTGCAAACGAATAATCCTCACGCTACCTATCCGTACCGAGCAGAACGGTTCGGTGTGCTTGAGCAAGGTTGACAAAAGGTTTGGGGCAGTAATTAAAACATCAGCAGGGAGTGGGTGTGCAGTGAGTCATGCGGAGAGCGTGTTTGGTGAGGGTGAGCTACTGAGGGGAGCCTTGTGAGGGCATGACAGCGGTGCAACCACGAAGCCACAGTGACTAAGACCAGCTGCTCCCTCGTAGTCCCGCCCCCAATCTGTCGTACAAACGCAAACAAACTTACCCAACATCAACCACAAAGCCTGTGTTTATGAAAGACACATGCAAGTTACTGCTACACAATGCCCCGACTTCAATACCAGAGAGAAGAAAGGAAATCATTTACCTTTAAAAACTATTCTGACTTTATTGACATAAATAAATTATTCAGCATCCCAGTGGAAACAAGTGCCTTGTGTTGAAGGATGGGCTTCAAAGTGCATACTGATAGCTGATGTTATTTGGAGGCAATACATTTAACAAGAAATGATTTTAAAAATGAACATCACATAATGGGCTGAGAAAAAGGATGTAGCTGGTTAAACAAATCACCAGGCCATCTACTTTTGGGGAAACCAATCAAACAGCTCGTCAGTCTGCTTCTACGGGAAATCTACAGTGAGAGAGATGTGGGATGTTGGGCAAGCTAGTTGTTGGGTTTGGCCGAAAGGGAAGAGCAATTTATCCTGGGACACAACGAGGTGCATTGGTGCGTTTCTGAGAGCCAACGGATCATTTCGTTGTTAGTTTTGTGAAGGAATGCCGAGTTGGACCCTGGGTGCAAGTGCATATACCTTTTACGGCTTTTCCTATTTTTTTCGTCGTCAAACCTTAAGAGGGGGCAGGGAAATGGAGTTAAGGAGAGGAGAATTACACAGCCAACAGCAACCGGACATCCAAAAGAGCAAAAAACATTTGATAAGATTCGATACATTTCTGACTTCCCTGAATCCCTCATGGACAGAAGACCGGCGGGTTAAGCCACATCCAGCATAAACACAGCACGAGCAATTTCTCAGCATGTGCGCTATAGTTATGCATATCAGTACAGGTTAACAGTTGTTGAAACGCTGTAATACTCTCCAAATTAGCATTTTACACATGCTTTTTTGTTGCATATGGATCTCTTCGTTCATGGGCAGAAAGTGCCCATGATTTGTGAAAATGATTAAGTCCTGTCCGGTAATATTGGGGCTTCGAACGAAGCTGAATGGTACTAAATTTGAGGCGAGTCAGACTCATAGCCATTGACACACAGCCTCGCAGGAGAAGCCGACTGTTGGTGAAACAACACTTACTGATGAAACGTAACCAATACTTAACAGACGAGTCAGAGCTGACGCTGCGTATGCACAACACTGCTAGATGTTGAGAACCAAATAAAGGAAAAACAGGGAGGCGCGCCAAAGGGTCTACATTTGTTTCAAAATCGATTCATTATGTTTGGACAAAGTTGAGATGAAGCCTGTAGGAAGAGGAAGAGCTGGAAGGGGATCTCAGCAGATTCATTCATTTACTAATTCTGGAGAGCAGCCATGTATTGTTCCACTGCACAGCAGTCAAATCCGGAATTTCAGATGGAAACAAAAACAGTTTTGCTCCTACCTTCAACCAAGAACCAGTCTGATCGAATATGTAAAAATACAACACAGGAGTTCTTACTACATGAACACCTTTTCATCACTCAGGTATTAAAAACCAGAGTGTTTTCTGATTTTCAGCTTTGGATTTATTAGCTTAATACTAATTTTAACCGTTGTCTTAAATATTGCTGATACGTTTGAGTGGAGCGTACTTACTGTTTGATGCAATCTGGTATGGAAACGTACTCCATCGGAACCAGTTCTCCAAGGTCTGTCAAGCTGAACACATACTGGATTTTCTGACTAAATTTAGAACTGTGAAAAGAAGGAAGAAAGTGGAATGTTAACCTGGAGAAGATCTTCATTTCCTTAAAATGAGCCTTAAACATTAGTTACCTTATGAAAGGCTTTGTGAGTGCCAGCAGCGTGCGAATAAACCAAGAAGGATGGACGATTATCAAAGACTTTAAGTTCTTCCGCAACCTGTACAGAAAGAGCGAGGGAAGCCGTCATTACAATCATATCATATGTAACTTCATTACATATGATGATGACACTGCTGTTCTTGAGTTCTGCATATTTACTAAAAAGAAAAAAAAGAACCCACCTCCTGTCAATCTGCTGATAACATTTTCGGAGCCAGCCAACCGTTGGCATCTTTTTCCGAGAGGTTGCCCCATTCAAATACACAATCATATAGTTCTCAGCGACCAAAAGCTCCAGCGTGCCAATGACATACCTGCAGGACACGGGAAACTTTTATTAGCACTGGTCCTAAAATGTTGTCTCAAAAACAATAGGAGGACACCAAATAAACACTTACTTGAATAAGTTGTCCATGATGTATTTATAATTCGGTTTATTGCTTTCGGGCATGAAGCACACAGCGAACACAATTATAGCATTCAGACCGTCTCCATAGTAACCTACAGTGAAAAGTCAAAACATGAAAAATTGATGTTCCACGATCCAAACCGTATTTCTTTCACAATTTTGGAATGAACACAGAGCGACCTACTCATGTAAAACACAAATGTACCACAGCTTGTTCCTCAAAGAACGGCAAAATACTTTAAGTTATTGCATTTATGTTTTTGCCTATTTTTACACAATGTAATGCAACCGACCTCCGTGGCTGATGACCCTCTTGTAAGGCTCGATGGCCTTCATGTCCACGCGGTGTTCCTGGTCCCCGATGCGAAACACCCTCCAGCGCCGGCCCTCCTCCCTCTCCTCCGAGGCGGAGTACTCCTGCACCGACGCCACGCCCTTCTGAAGCAGCTCTGTGGCTTTCGGCTTAGGGAGATCATCTAAAAGGAGGAGGAAGCATTTTGAACGCACAGCTGGGACGCTACACCGCCCGGATGTGATGGATGTCTAATGTGATCAAATCAGATCCACTGTGATCAAATCCTTCATCAAATGATTAAATGAATCGCTAATTTATAATTGAACTTTCAAAAGACATGCATTTGAATCAATGGATATGCACATTGCTGTTTTTTTTATACTTTTAACTTTAGAATCTGAGTGGCATGCTTTCTCTTTGAATCAACACCAACAAAGAGTCCCTTTCACTTGAGGTCAGAATTTACAGTTACCTGATACAGTTTCCTGTGGGGAAACCCTGCTAATGTTCCCCGCATGAGAAATAAAGTCAAGCAAACACTGCTGAGAGCACTTCTGTTAATCTTATGTAGGGTGTATAGGCAGCAGCATGACCTGCACAAATGATCACATATCAGGGCATGTCAAGTAGAATGAGATGAAGGCCAAATTCACTGGGCGCACATGTTTTATGCTTTAATGTAACTTCCTGAGATTGCGTCATCATGTAAAATATGAGACACTGAAACACTAGTAATCAAACTGCCCATGTTACCAAATGTTGACATTGCAGAATTGATTATTTCTTCAAAACGCAAGAAAATTTCGAAGAAGGAAAAAAATAACATGCATAATGAATAGTTTAAAGTGCATTCAACTGAAAATGAAGTGTGTAAAAGACAAAATCTCCCCATGATTTGTTCAAACAACTCAAGACAGAATATAATGTGGACAATAGGAGTTGATTGACGTATGGTTGGCAGAACAAAATGGGGGCTGTCCAGGAGACCTTACCACGAGGTAGAGAGAGAAACCTGTTGCTGGCCTGCAGCCTGTTTCCAGGCTGAGAACGGAAACAACTCTTCCATGTGAAAAAGAGGAAGGCAGTGAGGAAACACAGAAACAACAAAGCACATTAACTGCGCTCTAGGCAATCCGCTTCCCATTCAAACCTGCACAATCAAGGACAGCAGATACAGGTAGATCCTGAGAAGAAGAATGTTCTCATGGCTAAATTACACATCGCTGGAGTGTTCTTGCATCAGTACCGAAACATCATCGCGTGATATAAAGTGCTTACCTTCCCACTCAAACTCATTGCTATTGTCCGATGGTGTGTCAATGTCATCGAGGTCCAGCTCTGTACTTTCATCCAGCTCGTCAGAGAGAAGAGAACCTTCGCTGTGGTCGAGTGTGAGACTGATATCGGGGGCTGCGAGCTTCTTCTTCGCCTTCTTGCCGTGTCCCTTTGCATAGTCTGGGGTAGATGGAAAATGGTCTTTTGGGGCGGCCCCGATTTGTCAGGTTTATTATAATACAATTCTGTAGATCCCACAGAGCTACAATTCAGTCTGAAAAACCAAGTGGTATCTTCTGGTATCTGGTATCAGTGTTAGTCGCATCGGTACCAAATCCCCTCTGTGTTACTTTACTCTGGGGAAAACACTGTCTGAGAGGATATTGCGATAAAAGAATATTTAGAAAGATAAAAGTCCCCCATAAACATTTTTGCTGAAAAAGAAAGCGGCAGCAGGATTTCGGTGACTTTCTCAACACACGGGCATGCGGGTTGTGACTGAGACTTGAAAAGACGTGTTATTCAATATTGTAAAGTAGGTATCTTTTCAATGTCCCGTTTTCATTACCAGGGTCTATTTCTTCAGAAGCTCCTGCAAAAAGTTCATCTTCAAGCTCCTCTTCCTCGGGTAGAGGCCTAAAAAAACACAGCAGGGGATCATGCCTTCAGAAAGATGATATTTCTTGTGACTTTCAATGGACAACATAATAGAACCATGACATATACGGGATTTACAACATTACGAGTGATTGGCAGTACCGTGGAAAGTCCTCATCTTGCCACTCTTCCTTCAGTTCAACTCCCTCCAGTCTTAGGCGAGCTTCTGACGTGGCGACTGACTCTTGACGCTCTAGGCTGTAAATGGGAATTCAAAATGGTTATGCCATCTTGTTTAGTGGTTTCTAATTGTGAAAAGGCCTTCTTGTATTACAAACATATTATGATCAAGGGCAGAGGAAGCACAGATCATCTGTGACGAACCCAAACACATAACTAGTTGTCCAACGCCAGCTGCTTGTGATTTGTACAGTCCTCAAAGGATTATGGGTAAACATCAAAACGGAAGTCAATGGCTTTCTGTTTTTCAAAAACTAAGTGAGTGTATGTTAATGGTGACTGATTAAACATTAGAATAAAATGAATACACTTGAACACAGCTGCACAAAACCACCGTTTTTTTTGTTTTGTTGAACTCTACAAACAAACAACGGAGGGTGGGGATATCCATGTCCTGAATAGCAAAGAGAACGTTGAGAAAACGTAACAAACACTGGAACAATTGTAGCAGGAGATTGCGTGCCATGTGTTATCAGCCGAAACCAATACAGCATTTTAGGATGAGCAGCATTACAGCCGGTCAACGAAAACCCTGTTTATGTGTGTGTGCTTCTTCACCATCACAACAGGCCTCCAAGCGGAGGCGGGATATGCTTGCTGCCTATTGTCCTATGAACCTGACACTCTGTTTCTTTATAGACGGGGGCTTCGCGATGCTGTGCTGATCAATATATAGTTTGCGGTCCTGCAGAGTCGTTCCGCAGGCCCTGAAAGTTCCAGTTTGCGACCTGCCAGTGGCCAAATAATCAGATCGCTGGCTTTCTAAAAAGCTTACAAGCTTACGTTGGGGGCTTAGTTTACAAACCATAAGGCCGCTTACTAATAAGTTTGTGGTATCTGTATCTCTGCTGTACTGAGCTCTCTTTGATACACTAATAACATACAAAACTGCATTTTGCGCTTCCAGACGCAAAAACATGCTGGGCATTTGGCACTTAACATTTCAGAAAGTTTAGCTGTTTGCTCACGCATGCGTGCAAATCCCCACATTACATTAGAAATCCACTGAGAGGGGACGAAAGTTGAATGAAAGTTTTAAAACTACTCTCAGCATCCAGTGGGGGGTTATTTTAAGCAGCACATCCGAATTTTAGGTTTGAACCCAGAGGTGTTTTATTTTATGTCACCACAGACATTGTTTACTATCCCCTAAAAAAGGCCGCAGAGAATGCCCAGCACAACATAATGTTAGAAATAACCCTTCCTGGAGCTTATAGCTCCAGGCTTTTGTTAACATTTTGCCAGAGAAGTGTTGACGTTGCTTTACCAGAACTTCTCCTGTTGTTTTTGTGGGTACAACAGCTCGATGTTCTGACTATTACTGAAGAGCCTCATTCGGGGAGCGTGAAACAAATTCGGCCATGTGGACAAACATCAAACAGTAAGTTACATGTACGGGTACAGACCTTCCGATGGGCCCGGGAGGTGATCGTGGCTGGGGGAGGCTGACCGGGGAAGAGCTCCTTGCTCCCCGCCGCCGCTGCTGCTGCTGCTCGTGGTCCGGACTCGTCCTTTCCTGTGGCGCACCTCTGGTTTCGCTTAGAACCTCTTCGCCATTTTCAACCGCGGAAGCGGCGCTATTCCCCAATTCGTCCGACTGCCCGGCATCGCCTTCTCCTGACACCCCAGAAGACGAGCGACTAGACGTCCGTCCGGTACCCGGCCCCCCGTCAGTCCCCCCGGGTGTGACTGGATCTGGGCTCCTTTTGTTCAAATCCACGCCGCTGACACCCTTCAGCACCGCTTCGCTCTCGAGCACATCCGATGCCATGGTGGTCGCCTCAGCGTCCGACGATGACACGTTAAAACGCCGGCTTGTTGCTTGACTCAACGTTGAATAAGTCAAGATACACAACTTCTTAGAAAGCTGTTAGCTAGCGTGCTAAGCCCTCGGTCGCAGTGTACCGCTGGCCAGGAGGAGTGTTATTGTTGTTGTTGACAGTTAACTTAAGTAACGCCAACAGCATCCGCATACAGCAAATTGTGTTAAATGTCACACAGGGTGCACGGATAGTCACCTTCTTCTAAATGCGTCACGTTGTGGGGACTCAGGAGACACAAAAGATTAGCTAGCTCTGCATGTGCAACAGCGCGCAGGGATCCTGCTTATGAATTTCCTCCCTTGCTTCCTTCCTTCAAGTCAGGGGCTTCTCCTGCGGACGTTACGTTAGACACGCTAGCGTAAGTTTTATGCTACAGTTAGTTAGCTGACTGATTTAGCCACAGCGAAAGACAAGCTAATGTTGTCCACTTAATACCGAAAGTTACTTTATACAATCGAGCCGGTTGTCGACTACGACATGAGACATGGACGAACGATACATGGTTATGTGAAGCATAACGACGGTATCCGCTGTTCGCACTAGCCGGGTCCAGCGACAACTTCCGTTGTGCTTTGTGGCAGCGCTAGCGTGAACAAATGCTAGCTAACCAGAGCTAAGCTAGCGGCGGTGAGGTAATGCTAGCCAACCGGAGCTAGCCTAGCGACGGTGAGCTAATGCTAGCTAACCGGAGCTAACCTAGCGGCGGCGAGCTAATGCTAGCCGACCGGAACTAACCTAGCGGCGGTGAGCTAATGCTAGCCAACCGGAGCTAACCTAGCGACGGTGAGCGTGCTGCTGTTGTGTTTACTGTCGGTTCGTATCTGGACTTTCTACCTCCACCAATCAAGTGCAAAAAAAAAAATCAAGCTAATTTTACATTTCTTTTATTAAAATGAATAATTAAGTTAATTTCCTCATCTTACATTATTCAATTTGAGTTAGATTCGTATGTAAAGTTAGACATAATATTACCAAGGACCACATCTGTGGTCCTTGCTTGAACTGTAGGTGTCAGTCATGTGCTTTACATTCCAGACTTGGATTTTCCTTTAACCTCTTTGGAAACAGTGATTTCCCTCAAATCGTCTAAAGACTTTCTATCTGTAAAAAATCTGTTACATTTTGATATCACAAATATTGTCTATTTTGTATTTACTGTAAATTGTTAAAAATGATGTTATTACAAAATACAAAAAAATGTTGACCGGTCAACACCCTGCTCATTTTTGATATATATATATATATATATATATATATATATATATATATATATATATATTTACAGTATTTTGAAATATATGCCACCTCACTCAAACCGCTGTTGTGTAATAGCCCGCTTTCATCGAAAAGTTGAAATACCCTTTAACGATTTCTCTGAATTGGGCGAGGTGTCACTTTGTTATCAGCCTAAAAACAAAGTGACACCTTTACATTCTAACTATCATATCAGAGTGCAACTGCAGAAGGTAATAGCAGACACATTAAAACAAATACAAATCCTAAACAGTTAATACATATACATAGGGTGTCATTTTGTCTCAATTTCTTTGCGTCACTATATTACGTGAATGCAATGAATGAAAGTTTTGCTTTGATGTCTGGTGATAGAAATGCAATGTGGTAAAATGATGGTTATGGTGGTTATTCATGAATAGGAGGTCACATGCTACTTTTATATTTCAGGAATCTTTCAGCTCATGCTAAGGGATTATCAGAATTAAGTGATTATTATATTATTATTATTATTATTATAATAACACTATATATTCTTCTCTTAGGTAATGTTAGTTTGAATGAACATGCAGCAGTACAACACATTGTCAGTAATAACAACATCATCACATTAGAATATTGTTTGGTTTATTAAACTGGGTCAAAATCAGATTTTTCATCAAAAGCAGTTTTCCAACCTCGGTGACATTCAGTAATATTTTCCACTAGGTGGAGGCAGATACTTATATACATTTTGCAGTCTCTGGGACGCCTTTATTGATTTAAGATCCACCATAGCTCAAACTCTCTTGAAGAGCAAACTTCAAAGAGTCAGAGTCGGAAACGCAATGAGGAACGATATGCCATTTGTAATTAAATAAAAACATGTTACGTTTACAGATAACTCCCAATGTATCTGAATTTAGCAATGACATATTGATAGCTGTATTATAAAATTAATATCGCACAATTTTAACTCCCAGGCCTGTTTTTTTCAATTGATAATTTGGGAAGGTAAAAGATATGTCATTCTATTTAATTTGATGAGCTTTAACTCATTTTAAAAGTAAAAGGAGTCAAATGCGCTATCATTTCTCTTTTTTCGGTATAATACCTTTTACCTCATGGTTAAAAAAAACAAAAAAGAAAAGCCATCTATAGATCAGACATAATGACGCTGCCTGGTTAATACCTCCTCTGTGTGCAGCGGATCATTCAGTGTAATTTCTAATTAACACGTTGCTATTTACTCTGTTGGATCATTAGGCCTCATCACAAAAGGATAATCCAGTCAAATTGAGAGTTTATGCTTCCTTTCCACCATGGTGCTGTTTGCTAAGGAATCGTGTTGTAATTATCTAACAAATTAAGACAAACGTTGTTTAGCCAAGATAATGTATTGAGCCAGGCTATAGCATTAATATAGCTTTAATACGTATAACACAGACGGAAAGCTGAGGTTCCTCCTCCATTCATTTTACCACTGTGCTCAAATGTAACAGCAGGAATAACAGTGGGATTTTTATTAAGCGTACCTCTTGTCTTAATAAACTACATTTTTCGAATTGTATGAATTGATATGGGATATTAAGAAATGACAATAAGAACCGTAGTTTGTTGTTTTAGCTAAATTCCAATCAGCATACGACCAAAAAGCCCGTGCAAATAACCTTAGTGCAAGAACTATTTGAAGGTTTTTTCCCCATTGTTCAATACGGTAAACCTACGTGATCAATACAAGGAAGCGTCAAGAAAGCCGCTTCTGTCGTTGGCACATCTTGACTGTTGCCAGCTAGTGGGTTTAAGCAATAAAGTACCATTGTCTGATGCCTCCTTTAAATATAACACAAGCTTTCCACATCTCAACACAGATGCTGTGGCAGCCCCTCTTCCCATGATGAAAGGAGGGATGAATGTTGGGATCAGAGATGGAAGCTGTAACCTATTTGTGAAGCAGAATCATTAGGAGGGTTCTCCAACCAATTTCCATAAGTGGGATAGCGGGATGTATTTAGGCTACTCGAAGTATATCACTAATGAGAAAAGACAAAAAGGATTCATGTGCATGTTTTATGCAATCTCTTTCTGGGTGTAGATGAATAATTATTTATGATTGCAAAGCCTAAAAGGGAGGCAAAAAGATAGCAACTGCAAAGAGACTAGTAAAAAATTTAAAGAGGAAGTTAAATGAATATTTAAGGCAAGATGAAATATTTAATGGAAACAAATGAGCAAAACATTTAAAACGGCACGATAAATAGTACTGAGTGCCATTTAAAATGACCCTCTTAATTGTGCTATTTGCTGCAGTAGCCATGAGGTCTCGTTCATACTCAAAATGGGGCAAACTGAAGACCGATAATTGTTTTTCAACATGCCACTCATTATATCAGGACATTGTGTCTAACCCAGGGCTGACCTCATGGCTGAGAAATATTAGCCTTTGATTCTGTGGCGTTTTATATTGATGCCACAAGGCAGAAACATTTTGGATTTTATTGACCTTCAAGTTGAGGTTCAGGTTGCAAAAAGACATGTGACAAAAGTAAATTCTCAAGCGGCATTCAGCGTCAGGTTTTATGATAACATTAGTGTTTCACTGTGTGAACCTCACAGTACATTCTGTGACATTTCACCCACCGACATAAAAAATAAATAAAACAATCTGGAGTATCCACCAGCTTAGTTCATTTGTTTTCCAAATGCGAAAATGATTAAATCAGCAAACAAATAATTATTCAAGTCAATGAGAACAATTATCTCAAAGACGCCTCTGAGACTTGGATGTGCATACTGAATTGATTAATTATCCTGCTAAAGATAATTGAGTGGAGCTAGATCTTTGACTGCTTCCTTTCGACATACTCTCGCCTCCATCCTGATGTTGAATAATTTAATTTCCAACATCAATTACAATATGTGGTCATCATGATCACTTCTTTGTGTTCACAAAAATTGCCATGGTATGATGTGAGACACTCAAATAGCTCTATTTTAAATCGGCAGTCTTTGCATTACTCTACATTATTCCCGATCACTAGGAGAAGCAATCTAAAAAGCTCTGAAAGTAATTGGAAATGAAGGGATGTTCATCACTTAAAACTTCACGGACCCTCATTTTACAATATTTTTCTAATCGTTATTGAATTGCCTCTTTAAGATGCAGCCGAGTTTCTTCTGTTCAAGTTCAACTTTGCCATGGCCGCCGTGTCACGACCCGACTAACCCCTGGGCTGACTATTGCTCACCTCTGAGCCGGACGGAGACCATTGCCTCTGTGAATGATGGCGTGGCAGCCCGAGCCCAACGGCTTAATTTCCCAGCTCAACTCAGCGGACGCACGCCATCACATCCTGTCAACAATTCAGTGGCTCCAGCACAAAGATGAGCTCCCTCAATCAGCTCCGTCTGTCTCCACCGCGCTGAAGGGCCATCAGTCATCGGTAGGTGGGACGGGAGCCCTTCCATATTCACTCGTGATTGACACCGTTTAGATGATTCAGTCAGAATCACAGGGCTCTTTCTTTCCTCCGTGCACCACTGTGCTGTTTTCTGATTAGGGGGAAGTTCATGAAATATATATCTTTGTATTGGTATATTCAACTCCATAGAATGGCTCTTTTCACACTGAGCAAATATTGGTCCGATTTAATGGCGAGATGAATTAAGGCGTTGACATTTTAATCAGAGCGAACATAAGAAGCCAATTGTCACTGTCAGACCAGCTGAAGGTCATTTCAGCTGTTAAGGATCTGCTTGCCTTAGTGTTTAATAGTTACATCCAATGACTCGTTTACATGCGAGATCAGCTTGATATTTTATGTATAAGCACATATTCTGTTCAAGGCCTTTTATTCTATTAACCTGTCCCGTCTTTATTGGATCGTTTCTAAGATAATTCCCACATGGCTTAGCCTTTGATAAATATGCTTTTAGGTCTGTCTAATTAATGCATTCCGCTGTGGTTTTCTTCACTTGTCACCCACTCTTTAACCTCACAGCAAAGGAACAGACTTTTCCTACTCAAATTAAAGGTCCTGGGAGACGTTGTACATGTGTGAGCTAATGATGTAGTGTGCGCTGTGCAACCTGATATCTTATCTTGAGGGCCTTGTTGAAATGTTTTTAGTAGAAATGAAATGTATGACCTCACTATGGAGTGTGGATATATTCCAAGCAAATATGCTTCACTCTACTGTGTCTATTCAGATTTGTTTCACTTTGATTGTTTGGTGAATTCAAAGTCTGAATAGTGGATTATAATTGATTGCGGGACAAACAAAATATTTAGCTGCATGATATTTGCTGAAAAAAAAATGGTTATAAAGTAATTAGGCTATGCTCCTGTCGGCACAGACCAACAAAGACATGGCCGGTGTCGAGACGGCGTTTTCTGAAGGGACGCAGGAGGATAGGCCTCCACCAGCCAAGTCTACCCTTTTCCAAATTAATTAAACCACTTCAGCATTTCTAGATGTCCTACTCAATTCTTCTTTTTCACTGCCAGCATAAATGCAGTTTCCAGCCACGCGGCCGAGGGACCATGCATATGTG